TTTTGGATACTAAGCAAGAGGGAAGGGAAAGAATCCAGGAGATTTCATTACTTAACCTCAGGTACCTCCAAAACCTTGAGATCAGTGAGGCTGCTCATCCATGCCTGTAGTACAAGGAAGAAAATGGTAAATCCCTTAAGAGAAGTGCTGTTGGGTCACAGGCCCCACAGAATCCCATCCCATCCATCTTGTGACATATAAGAGAAAGTGTCCATACCCTTTTGGGATTGTAAATTGAGATGTTAAATTGCTGTCTGCAGTCACCAAATCAAGGTCTGTTTTCTATACTGCTTATCTATAATAGTTGAGTGAATCCCTTCTTCTTGGCCTCCAGTTGTATGACCCTGTTCTCCTTGTTGGGGAAGACATCAGGGACTTTATGCAGACAGTCTTCATTCTTTGTATCCTGCGGTTGGCTTTGGCCAAAGGGGTGACCCGAGACCACCATGCTCACAGCCTTGGGGTGGAGACCAAGGAGGTCATTGTAAGTCGGGACCTTGCCCTGGCTTGGCAAAGAACTTTGGCATCAAAATCACTCTTCACACAAAAGGATACTTTGAAAAATTTTGGAAAAATCACAAATGAAAATGTGAAACAAGTGAGTTTCAGCACTTTTCCAAGAGATGTGAAAGAAAGGGGTAGAAGGCTGAGGCTTGAGACTTCCTACTTACCCCATGAGTAAGGAAGCAGGATAGAGTTGGCCAGGTAGCATAGCAGGCTAGAGTGAGGATAAGGCAGGGTCCCAGAGGTTCTTCCAGAAGTGGGCTATTGGGAGAGTCGGAGTAAATAACTCACTCGTTCCTGGCATTGGCAGACATCCTTGATTGGTGGCGTAGCTCTGGAGGGAAGGGGACAGGGCAGGGCAAGTGTGTTGAGGGGTCTCAACCCAACAGTGGTGGGTTTTTTGGCAGCCTCTCCAAGGCCATTCCTTGATTACCAATCATTTCTTTCCAAGGATGGAAAGTAGGAGGGAGTCACTTTTCTGTCATTCAGCCCCTGGTGCTGGCTTCTGAATAATCTCTCATATGTTGTGAGCACTTAATTCAAGGAGCACTTGCATTTTGACAAATGAATTTACAACCTTATTTTTCTACACCAATGCCAGGTATACACTGATTAAAATATAACAGAGTTATTTATGTGCAAAATCTCCTTTGTAATTAGTAGATCAAATTCACAAGTCTGCTTACCTCGCCCCATCGCTAGGTTTTTGAAAGATTCAGACAGAATATAAGATACAATTCCTATCCTCCAGGAATGTACAATTTGTCTGAGAGAGAAAATTAGCATTAAATAAACAATTAGGCAAGAAGTAAGTAATGGACTACTGTTCTGATGAGAACTGTAATTTGAATTCAGGCAGTAAAGCTCAGTATATGTTAGAGTAAAAGATGATTACAAGAAGATAAGGCTGAAGATAAGCCTTCAGGATTAAGACATTTTTAAAGAGGGTAAAAGAAGAATGGCTTTCCTGGTAAAAGGAATTGCATGAGCAAAGGCACAGTTCTGGAAAATCAATATTATGTGCTCAGGGACATCCAGGAGAGATTTGGAAGGCATGAATAAGAGCAGCTAACTTGTAAATAAGGTTGAATAGCTAAGGTAGAGCCCTGTTTCTCTTGCCTCAAAAGTCAGTCAGTTTAATTTATTTTTTTAACAGGATCTTGCTCTGTCATCCAGGCTAGAGTGCAGTGGCCTGATCATAGCTCATTGCAGCCTTGAACCTTGAACCCCTGGACTCAAGCAATCCTCCTGCCTCAGCCTCCTGAGTAGCTGGGACTACAGGTGCGCACCACCATGCATGGCTAATTTTTAAATTTGCTGTAGAGATGGGATCTTGCTGTATTGTTCAGGCTGGTCTCAAACTCCTGGGCTCAAGCAATCCTCCTACCTTGGCCACCCAAAGTTCTGGGATTGCAGGCCTGAGCCACTGCACCTGGCTTATCTGTCTTATTTGATTACAGCCATCCTAGTGTGTATTAAGTCATATTTCATTGTGGTTTTGATTTGTACTTTCCTGATGGCTAATGATATTGAGTGTCTTTTCATATGATTATTGATCATTCGTGTATCTTTTTTTGAGAACTGTATATTCAAATCCATTGCCCACTTTAAAATTGGTTTATTTTAATTGTAATGATTGGTTTATTTTAATAGTAATAATTCTTTACATGTTCTAGATACAAGATCTTTATTAAATTTGTAAAAAAATTTTCTCATTCTGTGATTTGTCTGCCACCAGAACTCTTGTCTAAAAGGCTGTGAACACTTGAAAAAGATCTGGCCGTCTCATATAAAACTAAAAATAGACCTACCCTATCCTACCATATAAACAAGTAATTCTACTTGTAGGTATTTACCCAAGAGAAAAGAAAACATATGTCTATAAAATATTTATACAAGAATGTTTGTAGCAGCTTCTTTCCCTGTCTCCACCCTACCCCCTGCCAAGTCCTAACTACTAGACTACCAGGGATATAGCCTCTTTATTCATAATAGCCCCAAACTGGGAAAAGCCCCAGTATCCAAAAAGAAGAGGATGGATCAGCAAACTGGGGTTATTCATACAATGAAATACTACTCAGCAATAAATGGAGTAAACTACTGATAGATACAACCATATGGACGTTTTGTTAAGTGAAAGACACTATACACAAGAAGTACATACTGAATGATTCCATTTTACTTGAAGTTCTAGAAAATGTAAAGCTAATATATGAAAGAAAAAAATCAGAATTGTAGTTGCCTCTGAGGGCTGGTAGGCAAAGAATGACTGGAAAATGGTGAGAGTAAACTTTCTGAAGTGATGACAATGGTTTATATCTTAGAGGAGTTTTGATTACACAGTGGTTCTATATATTTGTCAGACTCAGTGAATCTACACTTAAGATTTATGCATTTCATTGCATGTAAATTTCATCTAAAAATATTTAAACAAATATTTAACTCTAGATAATAATATGCATGTGAAATACTTGGGAAGTACACTGATGCCTGTAATTAGAAGTTCACTTAAAAAATAAGATAGTCATAGGATAAAGATGGATGATAAAACAAGATAAAATGTTAATATAGGTAGAATCTGAGTGGTGAGTATATAGGTGTTCACTTTGAAATGCTTATCACTTTGCTAAATGTTTGAAAATCTTCAAAATAGAATGTTAAGGGAAAAAAAATTTTTTTTTTTTTGAGATAGAGTCTCACTTTGTTGCCCAGGCTAGAGTGAGTGCTGTGGTGTCAGCCTAGCTCACAGCAACCTCAAACTCCTGGGCTCAAGCAATCCTCCTGCCTCAGCCTCCCAAGTAGCTGGGACTACAGGCATGTGCCACCATGCCCAGCTAATTTTTTCTATATATGTATTAGTTGGCCAATTAATTTCTTTCTATTTATAGTAGAGACGAGGTCTCACTCTTGCTCAGGCTGGTTTTGAACTCCTGACCTCGAGCAATCTGCCCGCCTCAGCCTCCCAGAGTGCTAGGATTACAGGCGTGAGCCACCACACCCGGCCGGGAAAAATTTTTTTAAAGAGCTCCAAGGTTTCTATAGCTGGAGGCCAGACAACTGATGGCATCATTAGCAGAAATAGAGAATTTAGGAACAGGTAGCTGGCTTGGTGGAAGATAGTGGTATAACTGACAGGTCTTGAATGCCTGAGAGGGCCTAAGTAATTTATGCATGTATTTCCATTCATATTTCAATTGATTTTTATAAGTATTTCTAGTCTTTGGTCATTAGCATGCCCATTTTCAAATGACAAAACTGATATTCTGAAAAGTTACATATTTGTCCAAGGTCACTAAACTATTAGTGTGCTGGGGCATGACTGATTATATAATTTTGGGGCCTACTGTAAAATGAAAATACAGGGTCCCTTGTTCAAAATTATTAACAGCAGAACATTAAACTAAGAGCAGGGCCCCTCTAAGCATGGGGCATTGTGAGACACAGGTTGCACACACGTGAAGCTAGGGTGACAAGGAAAATTTGAATCTTGAGTCATCTAGCATGAAAGCCCATGCTTTTTCCACCTCTGTCAGATGACCCATTCATTTTTGTGCACGATGAATGAGACATGAGGATGATATCAGATGGTGATGTCAAATGATGTCCTGTAGCTGGTCAATAACTGAATTGCAGGTCATGAGTTCCTTCTGTAATGTCTATTGCTTGTCCTCTGCTCAGTGGACATTTGGGTATATTTAATCTAGGTTAGGAACACAATTTTTGATCCAAGGCCAACTGTATTTCCTTAAATATCCAGGAGCTAAGAATAACTCTTTTAACTTTCCCCTCTCAAAATTCTTCACTGAATTTCTTTTTTCTGATAAATGTGTCAATACTTTAGTGGTGATGAAATGCTTGCTGCTAGATATTTGGTAGATCTGGAAGTAAAGCATCATTAAACTTTGCGCTGGATCCTAGTGGTTGAGTTAAATCTTGGTTTCATTTAAGAGTAAGCTACTTTCCGAATGTAATTATGCTTTTACTGATAACAGTAACTTTTAGTAGTTGTTAAAGACATATTATCTCTTAATCAGACTATTCTTGTCTGTCATTGAGGAAGAATGGAGGATCTACAGCTTTTCCCAAGAAAACTGAAAATGTCCCAATCCCAATATGAAATAAGTACTGCTATACTGGTTTAGGAATAAACTACATCCTGTTATCAACCGTATTTCATCTGTTTGATTCTGAAAGAAAAGAATACTAAGTTTACATTTTTAATTAAAAAATTATTAAAATTCCAGAGAAGTCTTTCACATCAATCCCTGCTACTCAAAGTAGCAAGTCAAGCCTAGCAGGTCAAGTCTGGTTGGCTTTTCCCAAGGTACCCTCTAGAGGGCAATGTCTCTTCCTGCTAATCAGCCCAGGTCTCCTCTCCTCCCTCCTCCCGCCCTGCCTCAGCTCTCTATTCGCCTTCGCCCCGGGCCCCCCCTCCCGGCTCATCTCCCTTCCTCCGCCCTCAGTCCACTTCCTCAAGCTGCGGTCTAAGCCCCGCCCCTAGGCTTCGCACGGCGGAAAAGGCCGCTGGGGGCCGCTCTGGCCCACTGGAGGACTTGTCATCGGTGCCTGGCGGCGTACGGCGGCGGTGGGCGGGTCCGTCGTGAGTTGGTAGCGATCCAGGTGCATCGCCTCAGCTGCTCGGGGACTTGTCATCTGTGCCCAGTAGCGGTGGACGAGTCTGACGTGAGACTGGGGAGCCGTCCCGGTGCCTCGGCTCTGCTGCTTCGTCTCCGGAGTGTTGTGGCGGTGGCGCGGCGGGAGGTGTGGAGGCTCATGGCGAGGTGAGCGAGCGAGCGAGCGGCCGAGGGCAGGCTCCTCAGCTGCACTCGCCCAAGTGGGAAAAGGGTCGGGAGTCGGTACTGCTTGGCCTCAAAGTTTTGAGTCGCCCTTGGAAGCTCAGCTCTCAAACCGGAGCCTAGGCCCGCCCCAAGCCCCCCAGGCCAAGCTCCTTGTTTCTCCTTTTCTGTTTCTGGCATCTACTTTGCAGCAAGAACTTCTTTTTCTGTCACTGAGTCCTCTTATTCAGCCTTGACCCGCACGACTGTCTTTCCTTTTGACCCTGTTTCTTTCCTTTCTTTAAAGTTGGGTACGTACAGTTTGGGGACACACAGGGATTCAATTTACAGCAATTGTGTGGCATGTTTTGTGCGGCTAACAAACAAACACACGTGCATGCTAATTGTTGCAGCCGTGCTCGTGGTGTGCATTCAGCCTTATGGAACCGCTCCAGCGTTAACACAGGCGACTGCGGCTTTCAGGCTAGTGTTTCAGACATTTAACGCGGGTTGGTGGAGCGTGTTTGAAAACGTTGTTTAACTTTTCAAGTATTACTGCATCTTGAGCTCAATCGAGGAAATCTGGTAGCAACCTTAGGAAATTAGGCTGCATTAGGGTTGAAGCCTACTGTCTGTGACTATGCACTACCAGGTCGCAGCTGTGCCCACTTGAAGGGGGAACTGTCTTTACTTCCTTGACAACTTAAATTTCTGGGTTCTTCACATCTTAGAGTTTGCCGTAGGGGTTTCCTGCAAAGGGATGAAAGTATTTATTTGAGTTAAGAAGAGTAGCTACTGTTTCATGGGAAAGTTGTCTCTGGTTGTCTAATGTCTCCGCAGATGTGATTCTCAATAAATATTTTTATACATTGAAGAGTTGCTTTTCTTCTTTTTACATGCCTTAAAATTAGTTGTCCCTGCACCAGCTCATGGTTAGATTTGGTAAATACTAAGAAAATCGCTACATGTAATTATTGCTTGCTACTTTTTTGTTGTTGTCAGCAAATACCAAATTATTTGAAAAACTAATAGAAAAGACATGTTTGTTAACAAGGTTACCTGAAGAAAGAATCTGTCATTTACACGGTTCAGCATGGCTCTATTCCACCCCACATTTCAAGATGCAGACTGTGTAGGTGAGGCCAGGACCACTTTGGGGGCTTTGATCAGAGATTACTTTTCCAGGTCCATCCCTGGAGTGGATGTTACCCAAGAAAGCAGAGACCAAGATCATCTAGCCTAGGACAGCCTAACCCACAGATGTGTAAGGGAACAGGGTGCCACGGAGTATGTTTCTGCAAGGAAGAAAGGCCTCAGGTCATGGTTGACACTGAGGGCAATCTCACCAGCCTGGATTTCACATATTGGGACTCAGTGTACTTCCTGAATACAACAACAGTACTTACTGTTCTAGCCACTGGGAAGCACTGCTGTAAGCATTTCTATTACCCTGTAGCCATCCTGGGCTACTTGGGGTTCTTACTGTTCCTTATGTAAGGACTTTGGAGTCTGAAAGGAGAGCAGACATGAAATAAATACTTAGACTAAAGCAATATTTAGTTAAGAAACTAAGATAAGTTTTAAGATAAGCTTTTAAGAAACTTTAGTAAGTTTCTTAAAAGTACAGTTATGAGAGCCAGATTTAGATAAGGTCACGAAGCCTCTTCAAAGAGGTGGTTCTCTAAGATGTTAGTGGTACCCATTTCCTTTTCTGTCTGCTTTCTACTCTGCTGAACTACATTGTTCTTGCTGTTTGGCTGCTTCTATCTCTTTTACTTCTACTGTTTCTCAGTTGATCAAAGGCTCAATCTTTGATGCTCTGTTATGTTTTTTCTGTGTTAGGAGTCACAAACCCAAATGCAGAGGCCAGGAAGGAAGCTTTGAGTGATGCTGGGTTGATGGCAGCTGTGAGGACTAGTAGGGCACTGGTGAGCTGGAGAGTGTGCTCTGTCTAGAGGAGGCTGCTTCTTAGCCCAGGGTTTCCATAACTACCATTTTTTTGCTGGAAAAGCTGGAAAACTGCATTTTTAGGTGCAATCTCTTGATTTGTTAAATGTTTGTAGTTCTAAAATACTGCTGACTAGAAAACACATTTGTAGATCTAGGCAGCAACTTTCTGGCCGTTAGTTTTCAATTGCAGCTTTCTCATTTATTTCTTATAGGGAGCTGAGAGATTGTTATGCCTCCCTGATTCTATTATATGGGCGTGTGACTTCCTGACATGTCTTTAGTCCAAACTTTTCTTTCAAGCTCCAGTCTCTTCATATTTGTTGTTGAATGTTTCTGCTTATGTCAGTATAAACTACAAAATAATCATATTTCATCCTACAAACCGGCTAGCTGCCTTCCTAGTCTTTTCAATAGTTATATTCTCCTAGCTTTACTGGATTGAAATCTTGAAGTCATTTTTGACATAATTCTCTCCTTTTTCCATTGACTTTTTAACTTCATAACAACTCTCAATAAATCATTCCTTTCAGTTTCCACAGCTGCTGTTCATCATCAGCTCATGCCTGAATTACTTGGCCTCCTGGACTTGATTCTTGCTCTATTCACATCTAACCTCGCCTGCTTCTAGTGTAAATAATCTTCATTAAGCATTACATTCATTATATCATCTTTCTGCTTAAACTGTTTCATGTAGAGTTTTTTTAGTTTTTAATTTTGTGCATCCATGTTTGTTTTATTGGATAATTGCAGTAAGTTCCTAAATGATAAAGTTCTCATCCTTTTAATACAGTTGTTTTTAAATTTTAGAGTGTATTTATCATAATCACCTAGAAGGCTTATAAACATAGATTTCTGGGCCCAGCCCCTACAGTTTATTGTTCAGTAGGTCTTGAGTGGGGCAGAGAATTTATATTTCTAATAAGTTGCCAGAGAGTGCTGATGGTGCTGGTCCAGGGACCACACCTTGCCAAATTGACATCACCTGAAGAAAATAAGCCTGTTAAAGTGAATTAAGAAATTAGTGATTCCAACTTTTTCCTCTAGAATTCTAATAGTTTCATACCTTAGGGTCTAGACAAAGAGTTTATGAAGAAGTCCCCAAAGGCAATCACAGCAGCAACAAAAATAAATAAATGGGACATGATCAAACTACAAAGCTTCTGCACAGCCAAAGAAATAGTCATGAAAGTAAACAGATGACTTACAGAATGGGAGAAAATTTTTGCATCCTATGCATCCGATAAAGGACTGATAACTAGAATATACTTAGAACTCATGAAAATCAGCAAGAAAAAATCAAATAACCCTATTAAAAAGTGGGCAAAGGACTTGAACAGAAACTTTTCTAAAGAAGACAGAAGAATGGCCAACAAACATATGAAAAGATGCTCAACATCTCTAATCATCAGGGAAATGCAAATCAAAACCACAATGAGATATCACTTAACTCCAGTGAGAATGGCCTTTATCAAAAAGTCTCCGAACAATAAATGCTGGTGTGGATGTGGGGAGAGAGAGGAACACTACTACACTGCTGGTGGGACTGCAAACTAGTTCAACCTCTGTGGAAAGCACTATGGAGATACCTTAAAGCGATACAAGTGAATCTACCATTTGATCCAGCAATCCCATTGCTGGGCATCTATCCAAACGATCCAATGACACTCTATAAAAAAGACACCTGCACTCGAATGTTTATAGCAGCACAATTCATAATTACAAGGCTGTGGAAACAGCCCAAGTGCCCATCAATCCAAGAATGGATTAATAAAATGTGCTATATGTATACCATGGAGTACTATTCAGCTCTAAGAAACAATGGTGACATAGCACATCTTATATTTTCCTGGTTAGAGCTGGAACCCATACTATTAAGTGAAGTTTCCCAAGAATGGAAAAACAAGCACCACATATACTCACCAGCAAATTGGTATTAACTGAACAGCACCTAAGTGGACACATAGGTACTGCAGTAATAGGGTATTGGGCAGGTGGGAGGGGGGAGGGGGGCAGGTATATACATATATAATGAGTGAGATGTGCACCATCTGGGAGATGGTCATGCTGGAGACTCAGACTTGTGGGGAGAGGGGGGGAAATGGGCATTTATTGAAACCTTAAAATCTGTACCCCCATAATATGCCGAAATAAAAAAAAAAAAAAAAAAAAAAATTAGTGAGATGTGCATACCCTCTTTCTCTCCACAAGGTGGCAATTTTGGAGCCTATAGGAAGGGAAGAGAAGACCATGAATTGAGAATTACTTAGAGACTCCAAATTCTCAAGTACATTTTGAGCTATAAAAGTTAATATGAAATTTTAAATGACAGTTGAATGTGATTTGGAAAAAATTGAAGCAGTATGATTATATAGAATCTGGCAAGGAATCTAGTTGTACTTACATGTATATTTGTGGTATTGGTCCACAGAGTTTTGTGACCTATAAATGCCATGCATAAAGCTTTGCCTTTGCATTTGCTAGGTTTACATTTACTTTCTCTGAGTGAAATATGATTTTATTTTATTTTTTTCTTTCATTTAAGATTCTATCTCATAAACAAACCTGGGACTTGAAGCTAGGTCAGCCTTTCTCTGATGACTCTATGGTGCACGTCTCACTTAAATTGTTACGTAAGACTTGCTTATCTGGTAGCACCCTCTTGAACCTTGAACTGACATTTGGGTACTGGCCTTATTAAGAAATTCAAAGTCATTCTGAATCTAAAGAAATCAGCTCTTACATTTTTTTGATGGTTATAATTTCAAAAAAAGACAAAATTGAGTCAAGTTCAAAAAAAATGTTAGGAATGGTGCTTTAGGGCAAGTGTACTTCAAATTTTGAAAGTCTGTATGAAAACTTTTTTTAGAAAATACCCCTAAATAATCTAGGATCTGTCACTTCAGTTTAATTTTTATTAAGTATTGGTTTTATTGAAAACTTCTGCTCTTTGGGATCATTTAGGGGCACTTCAAACAAAATATGCTTGTGTCCTATTTCCAGAGTTTGATTTAATTGGTCTTAGGTGTGATGTGGGCATTGGAATTTTTATAGGAATCCCCAGGTGATTCTTTTCTGCAGACCAGTCTTAGAATCACTGATTTGATAAGAATTCTTTAGTTGGTGTAAGGCAAATTCAAATTATTGTTGTCCAGGAGTGTGAAGTGTAACTGATTTAAACAAATAAGTGATTTCTCCCTTTTTTGTAGTAGTATTCAATTTGAATGTAATATAAAAGGAAAGTAAATTCTGACAAGTTGGATTACAAAAACTTTTATAAATTCAGTCATCTAAGATGTGATTACAAGTGGTAACAATGGTCATATTACTTTTTTTTTTTATGCCTCAGCTAGGCTATCTTACTCCTCATGTAATCTTATCCTTGAAAAATTAACCAGTTGGCAATTTATCAGTTCCATCACATGTATATTTGCACATGTGCACAGTTCCTATCAGGCTGCTGCTGCTGCTGATTCTAATTTTGGTCTTTTTGCATAGATCTTAAATTTAACTTCTTAAACAAGAAGCATGCATCTCAATATATTCTAACTACAGAATTTTTATATGCATCTGTCACTATATTGTGAGTTTCTCAAGGGCAAGAGCTATATCTTTTTTTGGAACTTTTTTTTTTTAAAAGGGCCCAAAGCATAAAGATACAACTTGATGAATTTTCACAAACCAAACATACCTGAAATTACCAGTACCTGGAACAAGAAACAAGCTATAGCAGCATGCCAGAAGCCACTTTCTTTCCAGTCACAACTTGTCCAGCAGTGTGATGTGTAACTGATTTAAACAAATAAGTGATTTCTCCCTTTTTTGTAGTAGTATTCAATTTGAATATAATATAAAAGGAAATTCTGACAAGTTGGATTACTTTTATAAATTCAGTCATCTAAGATGTGATTACAAGTGGTAATACTATCTTATTACATCTTTACCAAGCCATTTTTTGCTAATTAATAGACTTTATTTTTGGGGGTAGTTTTAAGTTTACACAAAAATTGAGCTGAAAATTTGGGCAGAAAGTTTTGACAAATATTAATATATAATGACATGTATCTACCATTACAGCATCATACCAGTTAGTTTCATTGTCCTAAACATCTCCCGTGTTCCATTAATTCATCCCTCCCTTCCTCTCCCAAACCATGGCAACCACTGATCTTTCTATTGATTTCTGTTGATTTCTTAATTTTCATAATTTCATAATTTTGCCTTTTTCAGGGTATCATACAGTTGAAATAACATAGTATGTAGCCTTTTCAGATTGGCTTCTTCACTTAGTACTATGCATTTAAGTTTCCTCCATGTTTTTTGTGGCATGATTGCTCATTTCTTTTTATGGCTGGGTAATATTCCATTGTATGGTTGTATCAAAGTTAGTTTGTCCTTTATCCATTGAAGATTATCTTGATTACTTACACATTTTGGGAATTAAGAATAAAGCTATAAAATTCGTGTGCAGGTGTTCTTGTGGACGTAAGTGTTCAGCTCATTTGGGTAAATACCAAAGAGTGTATTGCTGGATCACATGATAAGAGTATGTTTAATTTTGTAAGAAACTGCCAAACTGTCTTTCAAGGTGACTGTACCGTTTTGTGTTCCTACCAGCAATGAATGAGAATTAATTTTTTAAAACTTTTCTAATACCTTTTAGAAGAGGTATTTGCAAAAGATGATACAGCATTTGTAAAATTACTCACATTACTATGCTCATTGTATTCTACATTTGTTTCAGGTTTAGTACATTCAGAAGGACTAATATCATACTGCAACATTTGGTAAGTTTTCACTTTGTTTTGCTGGCATTATTAGATTATATGTGTAATTTAAAATGTCATTGTTAAGGAAGTAGAGAAATACTGGGATGGCAGGTTTCTTGGACCTTAGTACAGCATGGTTCTGAACTTTACAGCTTCAAGGCTTGACACACATATCTTGTAGGGGGTGGCATAAGGTTATACTGAAGAGAGTGGATCTTAAAAGAATGTCCAGGCTTAAAGAATGGGTTCATTACTTAATCTTGGGGCAGATTACTTGGTGTCTTGCAGCCTCCCCTATATATATATATAATGAGGATAATAATAGTATCTATCTTAGACTGCTTATAAATGATAAATAAGATAATGCATTAAAAAATCTGGCATACTACATGACATATAATAATTTTATACATGTTAGCTGTTATTGTACTAATGGTATGTGAAAAGTTTAAATGTCCTTACTTTATCAGATTGTAAGGAAGAAATGATTTTTATTCACTTTCATATCCCTTATAGAGCCCGACAAGTACCTTGCACATAACAATAACAAGTCATCTAATATAGTACTTACTATATTACTAAGTACTTGATGTATATTAGCTCAATTCTCATTGCTTTATGGAGAAGATAACACAGATTTCTCCCTTCCAAGTACTAACCAGGCCCAACCCTGCTTAGCTTCCGAGATCAGACGAGATCGGGTGCGTTCAGGGTGGTATGGACGTAGACTATACCACAGATTTCTTATTGGCTTTATAGACTTTATTTAGGACTGTTGCAATAGCTGTAAGTACCACTGCAGTGGGGTCTGCAGTGGGGTTTGCAGTAGGGTAGAGAGATTGGGCTCAACTCTAAATACAACAAGGAAAAATAGGAATTTGTAGCATGGAAGGGGGGGTATGTGTGGGGTGTTACAGAAAGGAAGATTACTAGGAGGTTTGCATTAGGTGTAAGGGAGGATTCTTACTAAACCAACCTACCATGTTTCCCTGAAAATAAGACAGGGTCTTATATTTATTTTTCCTCAAGAAGACACCCCAGAGCTTATTTTCAGGGGATGTGTTATTTTTTTTAAGGATAGTATAACAATCTACATTTATTCAAATAGAGTTAAGTCGTTGTCTTCCGTAACATCATCATAACTCTCCAAACCCTGAATTCCATCCTGAATTTCTTGGGACTCTATTTCCTTTAGAACCATTGGCCCCAATCTCTCATGTCAGCAATAGAGCTCTCTTGGGGCAGATGAGAAGGGCTGCTGGTCTTTTTCTTTTTTCTTTTTTTTTTTAAGGATCCCTTGGAAGGAAGCAAATGCTCCTTGTCTTTACCACTCCCGGATGAAATGCATGGGTTATGCAGATACGCTGCGTAGCCACGCCTATCACTAGGTCTTATTTTAGGGGTAGGGTTTATATTTCACCAATGCTTAGAAATCCTGCTAGGGCTTATTTTATGGGTAGGTCATATTTTAGGGGAAACAGGGTAATTAGATTCTTGTTGAAGGCAGGCCTGGGCGATGGGACATTATCTGGAACATGGTAGAGAATGAAGAACTTTAACACATTGAGAATTATGAGATAACAAGGGTGAGAGATTCTGGTTAAACTGACTTAGCAGGATTCTTTGTAAAAATTGCACAATGCAGAGATAAACAAACACTAAGGCAGAATTCAAGGTCTAGTTGGAAAGAGAATTCAGAAGAGCCTGACTAGAGTTTGGCAAGGAGAGAATCTTTGCAATCTCCAAGTCGATTAAAGGTTATATTTGGCTATACTTATTTTAAAAAATATTTTTCTGAAAAGTTGCAAAATGACCAAGGTCATATATTGAAATGGATATAATTTCTAAAAACAACGTTAAAATTACTTAAAAATTCTGTGAAAGATCACTGTTTAAAATCTAGAAATAAAGCAAAATATTAAAAGGAGAAAAAGTAACCAATATCCTACTCAAGTCTAATCACTAAACAGTTTGGTATATTTCCTTCTGATCTTCATCTCGTATATTTGCTATTTTTGACTCTTTTTCACTGAGCATCATATTATGAACCTTTTATTATACACCATTAAATATTAGAACATATTTTCCAATGACTATACATTATATGGTTGTATCATAAGTTAAATCTGATTCATATGTTTTTGATGTTATCAATAATTATACTTTAATCCTTTGAGACACTTGAGTAATCAAGTCTTTATTATGCATATGGTAGAAAAATCAGAAGACTATTGAAAATCAAAGGTGACCCCAAATCAGTTTAGTTATATTTAGTATATATGGTCATTCTTTTTTATCTATGTATTTGTATGTTTTTTTATTTCAGCATATTATGGAAGTACAAATGTTAAGGTTACGTATATTGCCCATGCCCCCTCCTTAAGTCAGAGCTTCAAGCGTGACCATCCCCCAAACATTGCACATCTCACTCATTATGTTTGTATATACCCATCCCCTCCCCCCTCCCACCTGCCCAACACCTGATAAATGTTATTCCTGTGTGTCCACTTAGGTGTTGATATGTTAATACCAATTTGCTGGTGACTACATATGGTGCTTGTTTTTTCATTCTTGAGATACTTCACTTAGTAGAATGGGTTCCAGCTCTATCTAGGAAAATACAAGAGGTGCTATATCACCGTAGTTTCTTAAAGCTGCATAGTACTCCATGGTATACATATACCACATTTTATTAATCCACTCATGTATTGATGGGCACTTGGGGTGTTTCCACAACTTTGCAGTTGTGAATTGTGCTGCTATAAACATTCAAGTGCAGGTGTCTTTTTCATAAAGTGATGTATGTATTTTTAACATAGATTATAATCTATAAATGTTTCACTAGATTTTGGCTTATTTCTTTTTCTTTTTTTTTTTTGAGAACAGGTCTCACTTTGTTGCCCAGGCTAGAGTGAGTGCTGTGGCGTCAGCCTAGCTCACAGCAACCTCAAACTCCTGGGCTCAAGCAATCTTATTGCCTCAGCCTCCTGAGTAGCTGGGACTACAGGCATGCACCACCATGCCCAGCTAATTTTTTCTCTATATATATTAGTTGGCCAATTAATTTCTTTCTATTTATAGTAGAGATGTGGTCTCGCTCTTGCTCAGGCTGGTTTTGAACTCCTGACCTCAAGCAATCCGCCCTCCTTGGCCTCCCAGAGTGCTAGGATTACAGGCGTGAACCACCGCGCCGGCCTTGGCTTATTTCTTGAGGATAAGTTTCTAAAATATGATTATTCATTCAAAGTAAGAACATTTTAAGGATTTTTCATACATATGCCATGTTGCTTTCCATTTTACACTTTCCTCTATAAACACACTTTTAAAGCTTCTTCATTTTCAATTATCTGGCCACTATGGTTGTATTTGTTGACATAAAGTATAGTTCCTTATATCCTGGATTATATCTGTATTTTGATCTGTTCTTCTTTAGCTGGTAAGTAAACTTGACTCATGTGTTTTGTCAACATCATGAAAAGTGAAATTAGACATCTGGGAGTCGGGTTTTCTTTTTTGATTTTTGTGTGTAGTTTTCTTGTACCACAGATTTTTTTTCTTAGTACCAGTAACGTAAGAAAACTAAAAATGGTTTTCTAAGTCACATAGCTTAGTACCTTTTAAGCCTCTAATCTATCATTCTTTTAAAAAATTACTTAAAATATTAAAAAAAAATTACTTAAAATATTGTTTTGAATAGATAGTACATACACAAGGTAAAAACTCAAAAGAGTTCAAGGGGGCGGGCCTATCCTACCTCATTCTTTTAGTTGCCAAGTTTCCCTTCCTGGAAGCAAGATTTTAGCAATTCCTTGAGTATCCACTTAGAGATAGGTAATCTATATAAATTTCAATGTGTCCATGTCCAATACAGAGGGTAGCATAGTAATTACACTGTCTGTACTTGAGATCGTTTGATAACAGTGTGTGGAGAGGTTGCTTAATCATTCTTTTTTTTTTTTGGAGACAGGGTCTCGCTTTTTCACTCAGGATAGAGTGCAGTGGCATCATCATAGCTCACTGCAACCTTAAACTCCTGGGCACAAGCGATTCTCCTGCCTCAGCCTCCTAAGTAGGTGGGCCTACAGGTGTGTACCACTTGGGGTACACACCTGGCTAATTTATTATTTTTTTGTAGAGGTGGGGTCTTGCTTTTGCTCAGGCCAGTCTCAAACTCCTGACCTTAAGTGATCCTCCTGCCTCAGCTTCTCAAAGTGCTATGATTACAGGCATGAGCCACCACGCCAGGCCTTACTCATTCTTTTTAAGGCTCCATAGCATGCTTTTGCATAAATGACCATAGTTGATTTAACTAGTTTCCCAATGTTAAACATTTAGGTCATTTCCAGTCTCTTGCCATTACAAATAATGTTGCAGTAAATAACCTTTTATGCATTTCATTTTGCCCCACATGTAAGTATAATCTATAGGGTAAATTTCTGAAACAGGCATTACTGTGTCAGAGTGTGTGCTTTAAGTGTGTTGTCAGACTGTTTTTCCTAGGTTCTGTAATAGTTTCTGCTTCCACAGTATGTCTTTTTACTCACACTCTGGATGTCACAGGCTATCAAACTTTTTGATCTTTGTCATATTGGTTAAAAAAAAATCTTACTATAGTTAAGTTGAACTATAGTTGAAAAGATACAACCTTTCTGGTTAATTATCCTTTTAAATGCACATAAATTATTTTTATCTAATTTTAACAAAAATTAACTTCAATGTTAAATATGCAACATGGTTTTATAAAAAGAAACTTTGTGTAAACATGTTGCTTAATGCAGTCAAAAGTCAAAATATGGACTTCTGGGTTTTATTAGATTTTAGCTTATGTGTGCTATTTAGTTTTAATTGACATTCTCCAGTTAAAATTTTCTAATTTAAACTTTCAATTTTATATTACACACTGTTCCCATGTGGGGTTTAAGGTTGTCCTTAGATAAAGGAATGTATTAAGGATGGTGGTGCCACGAGCCTTGATGGCTATGTATAGCAGAGTCCTGGGAAGTTGCTGTATAGTTAAAACCATGTTCTTTACAAGTGTTATATTTAATCAGTACTATATATTTTATGTGAGCAGTGAGACTCAGTGATTAAGTTATATTTTGCGAGGCCCTAAATCAGTGTGTAGGCAACTTCCTCAGCTATAATGACACTTAAGTCTGTTGTGTTATTTATTTCATTTTTATTTATTTGTATATATTTTTGAGATGGGGTCTTGCTGTGTTGCAAGGGCTAGAGTGCAGTGGCATGATCATGGCCCACTGCAACCTTAGACTCCTGTGCTTAAGTGATCCTCTGGCCTTGATCTCCCAAAGTGGTAGGATTACACAGTCACTGTGCCCAACTAGTCTATTATTTTATAATCTGGCCTGGGACTACTTATCTGCCTACCCTCTCATCACTCATTTCCTCAGCTAGACTTTGTTCCACTCATGTTTAACATCTTAATATTTCCAGATATTCATTGCTTGTGGCTTAGCACATGCTGTTCCTTCTCTCCAGAATATTCTACTACCCTTTTTCTTGGTATACGTCATGGCCCAGCTCAAGTATCAACTTTATTTTCAAATTGTGCATAGATAATATAGAATTATTTGTCTTCTCTCATTCATCTTTACTTTCTCAGCACATAACATAGAACTTGATATACAGTTATTAATTAAAAGATTTAAGAGGTGTGTGTAGTTTGCTTTGGAATTGTCCATCTACAGAATCTAAATAACTTTAGAAACTTTCGTCAGGTATACCTCATTATTTGTTCTTTCAGTTACTAGTAACTTGAAGAATTTGTACCTTTTGCATATGTTGGCTTGTGATAAAAAATTAATTTTATAAAGTTATTCTTTGTTTATACAGAGAATGTCCAAGCACACAGATGCAGCAGGAGACGTACTGTTGGAACGAAAAGGTTGTGCAGGAGTGATAACACTTAACAGGCCAAAGTTCCTAAATGCACTGAATCTTGATATGATTCGACAGATTTATCCACAGCTAAAGGTTTGTAATTTTCCTAAAGCAATTATATGGATCCTTTTAAAAGTATATCATAATAGAACATTTCTGATATTTTCTCCCATAGAATCCCAGGACTCTCTGGGATCTGTGCCCAAGCTCCACTGATTGTTGAGTCCTCATTGCTTTCCCTTCGTGGTTATCCTTGAGCACCCCTGGTGATGGGGAATTCATTGCCTCCCGAGACAGCCCCTTCCACTTTTATATGATTTGCTCTGATTTGGTCACACGTTTCTTTTGTGTTCTGCTACTCTTTCTTTGACCTTTCAACCAGTGATATTGTCTCTGCTTCTTAAGCCATGAGCTGTACAAATCTAATCTGCTTCCACATTACAGCCTTTTTGTTTGAAAACAGCTGTTTTTAAACTGCTTGGCCTGCCCTTTCTTAGAGAAGGCCATAAACTTTTCTAAGTGAACAGCATGGGATGGTAGAAAAAATAGGACAAGTCAGACTGTTTGGTTTGAAGCTTAGATTTCTACTTTATTAACTGTGTAGGCTGGGAAAGTTATTTCCTCAGCTGTGAAATGGGAATGATGCCATTTCATAGGATGGTTATGAAGATTAAGTGGCTGGTAAGTGACTATGTAAGTATTTAATATAGTCTGCCATGTAGGTGTTGAATTAATGCTAGTTTACTCCTGGCCATCAGTTCTTTAACTCTTCCTTTGATGAGTCTATCTTCCATTCTTGTGTTTTTGTTTGGGATACCTTATAGTATGTCCTAAAGTGTGATACATAGAAATAAGCCAAGTTTTGCAGATTTGAGTTGAACCAGAGTGGAAGAAAGTAGAAACTTCCATGTTAGAATAACATTTCTATTAATGCAGTCCACATGGACCTTTTGGACAATCACATCTGTCCAGCTATATCTCTTCCCTGTGCATTCATATATTTATTCTGTAGCAAAGGTTGAGCATCCTTAATCTGTAATGCTCCAAAATCCTAAACTTTTTAAATGCCAACATGATGCTTCAAATGGAATGTTCTACACCTTACCTCATGTGATGAGTCTCAGTCAAAACACAGATGCACAAAATAGTTTATTCAGCCAGCGTCCCCAAAGAAAAAATAAAATTACCTTCAGGCTATGTGTATAAGGTATATAAAAAACATAAAGGAATTTCATGTTTAGATTTGAGTCCCACCCTCAAGGTGTCTCATTATATTTATGGAAATATTCCAAAATTAAAAAATATGTGAAATCTGAAACACTTCTGGTCCAAAGCATTTCTGATAAGGGATATGCAACCTATATAGAATTTTTAGAACCCATGTTTTTCTGTCTTCATTTGGTCCATTGCTCTAGCCTTTCAAATTTCTTTTGGCTCTTGATTCTTTCATCCTAATAACTTATACACTGTCTTCACCAATCCCAAATCACTTGCATATTTGGTCAGTATCCTAAGTGGTTTCACTCTGTTACTTAGAAATTTGTCAGTACGACAGAGAGCCCTGTTATCACCACAGTAGAAACTCTATTCTATTAGCTCTATTAGTAGTTTTGGGTTGTTCTCCAAATTTATAATTTTATGTAACAGTATGAAACCATATTCATCTTGGTCTCAAAGTTATGGCAAAGATTTCAGGAGCTGTCTTGAAATTTGTATCACAAAATATACTAATATAGGAACTTTGTTGAAATAACTTCTGCTTTATCTCTGAAAAGAAAATGAAGTTCATTCAATGAGGAATGGAATGGGATTCATTCTTGATATGCTTTATAAAATGATGTGTGTGTATATATGCACACACATCCATCCATATGTATGTGAATGTGTGTATATGCATATACATATATCTTTAATGAGTTATAATTTGCTTGTACTATCTTCTTTTATATTTGCGTAGAGGTGGGAACAAGATCCTGAAACTTTCCTGATCATTATAAAGGGAACTGGAGGAAAGGCTTTCTGTGCTGGGGGTGATGTCAGAGGTAAAAACTTTCTCTGCCCTTACCTAAATACTTTTTCCCCAGTAGAACTGATAAAATATTGGCAGATTTTTGTAGTAATTTGTAATTGGTTTTACTTTTTAGAATTTTTCATCATAAAGGTAATACATTCTTATAAGAAAGTCACATGCTTAACTTAGAAAAAAATAAAAATTTAAAGACTTTATAGTTAATATTAGAAAATGAGAATAGTGAATTTTTTTCATTACATAGGTGCACTTTTGAAATTTATATATTTTGTGTCTCTCCCTGAGTCACCACAAGCAAAATATCCAGTTATGGTATGTGGGTTGGCTTCATATTTTAGGATAGCTGATGTTTAGCACTTCTGTTCATTACATAACCTCCCACTCCGGCCATGTTGAGTGACATGCCATTCTCCAAATATGACATGCTCTTACATGTTTCATTACTCTTCTAACTATTCATGATTTGAAAGCAACATAAATTCTCCTTATTTTTCCTAGTTGTTCAGGTCTTTACAGTCTCTACACATTTATTAAAGACAAAAGAGAAGAAATGCTTATTCTCAGGATCAAAGTCATGTATTTCTCATTATCACTGCTAGTTGTCCATATTATATATGTATATAATAGTTTATGTATATAATAGTTATATAATACTATATAATAATTATATAGTATACTGAAAACTGTTTTTACATTATGTATTTCATTCCATATGGAATTGGTAGGGTTCAGGGATGGTTTTGTCCCTTTTTTTTCCTTTCTTTTTTTATTTTGTATATGTGTTTTTTTTCTATTAAGACAACAGTTTTTGGTTTGTTCACCAAATGGTTTATCCATTCCTTTATGAATAGGAACCAAGCTTATTCAACACATAATTTCAAATACCTATTAAATTTAAAGTAACTAAATTTTAAAATTGCAGTTTAATGGAAACTTTGATTGCTAAAACTGATGTTAACCAAATCGTTTTTGTATTTATTGTCTTGCCTGCAATGTAAATATTTTAAAAGCATTGTTCTTTGGCCAAGAATTAGCCTTTCCACTAGAGTCAGGCCTATGATCTTGTCAGTTTACAGATGGGCAGACCTTTATCTACTGAGTGTTGTTTCTTCTAACTGTGAGCTATTTCTGCATATAGGCCTAACTTTATATTGATGTTTGGGAATATAGTTATAAATTCTAGAATTATTCTAGTTTACATGTATAAAGCAAAAGATTTCAATTCCAGGACATTTTTTTTTTTTTTTTAACGATTATAGTCCAAGACAATGAATGGACATTTAGAAAATTTAAAAAGATTGTGAAGATCATTTAATGTTAATTTGTATGGAATTAATTGATAGAATAAAAATTAGAATAAGATTAGAAGGAAATCTGAGATTTTTGAAGTAAAAGCACTTAATTCCAAAGGTAATACAACTTGCACTTCTTTCCTTTTAGAATTGGTGAGCAGTGATAAGGACTAAATAAAGCATAATGAATAAGGGTCTTTTTTCCCCAGACATATATTAGTGAAAGCCTCAGAATGACAAAAGTAGATCAGATCTTTCTCTTAAAAACCAGGAAAAGAAGTCAACATATGGAACATTTTGAAGGAAGATATGTCACAATTCTAGAGTTAGTCTAAAAATCTATAGTCAATGATTTTTTAAGTTATGTTTTCCCATAAAAGAGGAAACATGTATATATGATACATTTAATTTGTGTTTTAATAGATAACTCTCACAGGACTTAAGGACAGGAAAAACATGAGCTTGCAGTATATGGAAGAAAACTTTGATAGCAATCTTGAGATTTGATTGGAGTAAGAGTATGGTAGGAGATGCAAACTGTGGACAATAGGAGGTTGCAATAGAAATTAAATCATTTGATAGTGTTCATTCAGCAGATATTTACTGAACATTTGTTTGTTAAACCAGGCAGTAGTATGCTGTAGTGAAGTCTTTGAGAAGTTACATTTCCATTGATGTTAATAAGAATGTTATCTCGTTTACCTCTATAGCCTCACCTTTTCCCTTTTGTTGTTAGCTTTTAAAACTACTTGATTCTTGATTTTACTCTTTTCTTTCTTGCCTTTGTGCCTTTGTGTAGGGTACTGCTTCCCCTAATAGAAACTTTTCTTCAGTCATTTTCTAGGAAATTTTTACCTACATTTTCAAACTTGGCTTACCTCTTATGTAATTAAAAGAAGGCTTCCCATGTTTCTTGCTTCTATTCTGACAGCAACCCATCCTTGCATAGTGGGCCTAGCACAAAGAGTGTGTTTTAGTAGTGTTTAGAGTGTCTTTTTCATTAGTCTGAACTCAAAGGCAGCCATCTTACATTGCTGTCCTGTTATCTGCAGCACTTAAAACAGTGCATGGCACATAGTAGATGCTCAATAAATATTTCATAGGGGAAATGAATGTGAAAATATTTAACTAGGTGGAATATGCTGTAGCACTACACATGCACACTTGTGCCCACATGTGTACATAATGTATTTTATATTAAGATACCTTACCTAGGGAAAGATATATCTAGCAAATGCTTATTTAGGTGCTAGAGAAAATAGTAAAAAAAAAAAAAAAGCACCTTGTAGCAATATATTAATATAATTTTTAATTTAAGTATAACGTGAGAAGTATTTAAGTATTTTGTGAGAACTATAGAAAGTAAGAATAGGAACTTTTGCCTTGACGCTTTGTTACTGGACTGTGGATCTGTGACTAACTATAATATGTCTGTGGCATGGCAATTTAAAAAGTTTAACAAGCAATTTTAAAGTACTTCCTTCATTTCCTCCCCTCATATTTAATTATCATAATACTTTTAATCTATTTAACTATATTGACTGGAAAATAACTTTTTTTATTTGTAACCCATCCATCCTTCTTCTCTCTCCCTTCCTTTGTAGCAATCGCAGAAGCTAGAAAGACAAAACAGAAGATGCCTCAAGATTTCTTCAGAGAAGAATATATGCTGAACAGTGCCATTGGTATGTGTATTCTGCTGTGAGCTTTGAAAATGGAATCAAGAACTGAGGTGGACAGGATGATTTCTTGAAAATATAATCAATGGGCATTCTTAAACTTTTGTATACTATGTGCCAGGCATAAATAAAGTTGATCAAACTATTCTGACTGCTTATTCCAAAACAATTCACCTTAATATTAGTAGGTTATACTTAACTGCTATTTGCCATAAAATCAACATGAAAATAGTGATTTCTGATTATATGGCTGGCATTTTTGGAGAACAAAAATCTGTATCCTGGTGTTCTATATAAAATTAACTATAGAATTTCCTAAATCTTGGGAATGAAATTTCTTTATATTCAAGGTTCCAGATTTCATTGGAAGTAAAGTAGTACTTACTTTTATCAGGCATGTGTCAAATGTTAAATTGCAGGAAATAACATAATAAATACCTGTGTTCCCTCCAGCCAGAGTTAACAGGCGTCAAGATTTTGTTTTTGCTTGGTGATTTAAAATTTATTTAAAAGAAATATAATACTGCAAGTTTTAAAGTTAGTTCAGTCCATTTTGTTGCTTGTTTAGGGCCATTCCTTTCTCTCCCTGGAAGGAATTGTCATCTCTCCTCAAAATCCATTGTCATTGATTTGTAGTGTATCCTCCTAGACCATATTTTATATTTTTGCTACATATTTATCGACTAAAGTTTTACTTTGTGTTTTGAAAATTTATGTAAATACTATCTGAATGTATGTACCATTCCATAAATTGTTTTTAGTATGGAATGTAACTGTTTATAGTATCCACTATTATGATTGTATCCCACATTACTTATATATTCTACATTAATGGGTATTTTAGGTTTGTTCTAATTTTTACTAATATAGATAGTTGTACCCTTGTAGATGTGCCCTTATTGCCCATGTGCAAAAATTTCTCTAGATATATGTGGAATTGGATGGATCATAGTGTTCATACATCTTTACTTTGTTTCCAAATTCTTCTGTGAAGTATTTAAGACTTTTTTATTTTTATACATCTTTTGTCTCAGCCACTTTTGGACTTCTGATCTTCCATATGAATTTTAGAATTGTTTTGTCTGGTTTCACAAAAAATCCTATTGAGATTTTGATTGGAATGACAATTATGGATTAATTTGGAGGGTATTGACATGCTTGATACTGAGTCTTCTCCTTGGCATATCTCTTCATTTATTCGTGTAGACTTAAAAAAAAAACCCACTTCATGGAGTGATAATGTACATACCATAAAATTCACCCATTTCAAGTATACAATTTAATGATTTTTTAGTAAAGTTACCAGGTTGTGCAAACATCGCCATAAATCAGTTTTAGAACATTTTTTTCTTTTAATTTTTATTTAATTTTTTTAGAGACAGGGTCTTGTTCTGTCGTCCAGGCTGGTGTGATCATAGTTCATTGCAGCCTTGAACTCCTGGACTCAAGTGATTCTCCTGCCTCAACTTCCCAAGTAGCTGAGACTACAGGCATGTACCACCATGCCCACCTAATTTTTCTAATAATTATTTTTTTTTAGATATAAGATCTTGCTGTGTTGCCCAACCTGGTCTTGACCTCCTGTCCCTCAAGCAATCCTTCTGCCTTGGCCTTCCAAAGTGCTGGGATTATAGGCATGAACCACTGCATCTGGCCAGTTTTAGAACATTTTGTTCAAGTTGACTTTCTTGTCTTTCCATAATGTCTTATAATTTTCTCCATAAACATCTTTTTAAAATTTTCTTTAGGACTTATACTTAGGTAGCTTCTGGTTTTTATTATTACAGTTAATAATATTATATAATATAATTATATAACATAATAATATATAATATTACTATATAATATAATTATATAATATATAATATTATGTAATATATAATATTACAGTTATTGGCTATTTTCCTATTACATTTTCTAATTGACTATTCTGGCATATAGAAATACTTTTGATTTTAATATCTTTTTATAAGGCCAGTTGTGGTGGCTTACACCTATAATCCTAGCACTCTGGGAGGCTGAGGTGGGAGGATCGCTTGAGGTCAGGAGTTTGAGAACAGCCTAAGCAAGAGTGAGACCCCATTTCTACTAAAAATAGAAAAAATTAGCCGGGCATGGTGGTGGATGCCTATAGTCCCAGCTATTTGGGAGGCTGAGGCAGGAGGATGACTTGAGCCCAGGAGTTTGAGGTTGCTGTGAGCTAGGCTAATGCGATGGCACTCTAGCCCAGATGACAGAGTGAGATTCTGTCTCAAAATAAAACAAACCACAAAAAAACCTTTTTATATCCAGTAACCCACTGAAATTTTTTGTTAATTCTATTGGTATTTCTATAGGTTTTCTTGGCTCCTCTATTAAATACACAATTCTGTCATCTGCATATAGTTTTTTTCCCAATCTCCTTTCAATCTTTATGACTTGTGATATTCTGTTACAATGTTGAATGATTGTAGTGTAGTCTTGTTACTGATGTCGGTGGGAAAGCTTTTAAAATTGCATACTTGGGTATAAATTGCTGCAGAAATGTTTTACCTAGTTAAAGACGTTACTTCCAAAGTTGTTAGGGGTGTTTTCATTTGTTCAATTTTGGTAGTGGTGGTGGTTATTAGCGCTTGAGCATCCACTTTCTCAGTTTTTTTCTCCCTTTGCTCAGGCAGGGGCAAGCCTACTTATTGAGTTCATGAATCAGCAGATGGAGTTTTTCTAGTCCTGTTTTATAAATGGAGTAGTTCCTTCTAACTTGAGGCCTTATGCAGGCAGCTGAGTATGTAGGATTATATGGCCCAGAGTTATCCTCTACTTGCATCTCTCCCTCTTCCCTCCCTCCCTCCCCCTGCCACCCCTTAGTAATATTTAGCTGTAGCTTCCACTTGGCCATTGACTTTGAGTTTCTTATTTGTTTCTGGTACCTAGAGATTTTCCCTTGGTTGGTTTTGAACTTAGATATACATTTAGAATTTATTTTTTTCTAGAATTTTTGTGTCTTTGAAGTAGGAGTAGGGAAGGGGGAGAACTGTTTCCCATTTTAGCTCAGTGAGCCAGATTGAATAGACATCTATCACTTCTTTAACTCCTAAAATTTCTCATACCAAATTTACTTAGAATGTTTTATTCATTCAGATATTCTACATAACAGCACTGTTCAATAGGACTTTCTGCAGTGATAAAAATATTCTCTCTCTGTGCTGGTCAGTATGAGAGCCACTAGCCACATGTGGCTATTAAGCACTTGAAATATGTCCAGTGTGTTCAAGAAACTGAATTTGAAATTTTATTTAATTATAATTAATTTTAATCATATGGCTAGTGGCTACTATATTAACACAGTTCTGTACTAAATAAAAAGAGATGAGAACTCTTCTAAGCACTTTGAAAAGAGAATTCAGTAAAATGTTAACTTAGAGAAAGCCTCCAAAGTATAATTTCTATATGTTGTAATGACATAGTCAATAAGGAATTTGATAGATTCTGGATTTATGTCCTATGTCAATTAGCATCTAATATTTTATATCTGAAATATGTGTATTTATACCTGAAATGGGGTATATGTATTTATATATCTTTATCCCAATGAATAAATTCCTTTCCATAGTTTCTGGGAAACTACAGATCAAAATTGAGGACAGTGGAAGTCCTTGTGAATGTGAAATTTGAGAGTTGCTTGGTGGCTCGTTGGCTAATTGGAAATACTTACAGAATTGCTAGATGGATATCATATTAACATATGGTATACCCATACCTGATGTTAACATGTGTATAATTCATATATATATATATATATATATATATATATATATAGTAATGCCCAGTTGAATTGCCAGTTAATTTTCTTTCTTTTTTTTGAGACAAAGTCTCACTCTGTTGCTCCCGCTAGAGTGCTGTGGCATTAGCCTAGCTCACAGCAACCTCAAACTCCTGGGCTCAAGCCATCCTCCTGCCTCAGCCTCCTGAGTTTCTGGGACTACAGGCATGCACCACCATGCTTGGCTAGTTTTTTAAATATATATATTTATAGTTGTCCAGCTAATTTCTATTTTTTTTTTTTTAGTTGAGACGGGGGGCGGGGGGGGCGGAGGTGTCTCGCTCTTGCTTAGGCTGGTCTCGAACTCCTGACCTTGAGCAATGCTCCCGCCTCAGCCTCCCAGAATGCTAGGATTACAGGCGTGAGCCACCACTCATGGCCAGCCAATTAATTTAATTGATAAAGCTGAGACCAGAATCAAAAATCTTGGTCTTCTGACTTCCAGTCCATACTTTTTCCTGTGTGCTGTACTTTGTTACCAATGGTGGTAAACTGGGGGAACTAAACCTGTTTGTTCAGATTCTTCTTTGTTTCTCTGTATATGTATCCAGACATTTCTTCAGATGTACTTTAAAGAACATATTTGTTTTCTGTACAACTGTGTACATAAACATTGGTAGCTTATAAGGTAGATTTTAATTATGTTTCTTTTTTTTTTGCGACAGAGTCTCGCTTTGTTGCCCAGGCTAGAGTGAATGCTGTGGCGTCAGCCTAGCTCACAGCAACCTCAAACTCCTGGGTTCAAGCAGTCCTGCTGCCTCAGCCTCCTGAGTAGCTGGGACTACAGGCATGCACCACCATGCCCAGCTAATTTTTTCTATATAAATTAGCTGGTCAATTAATTTCTTTATATTTATGGTAGAGATGGGGTCTCGCTCTTGCTCAGGCTGGTTTCTAACTTCTGACCTCGAGCAATCCGCCAGCCTTGGCCGCCCAGAGTGCTAGGATTACAGGTGTGAGCCACCACGCCCGGCCTATGTTTCTTAATAGCTGAATTATATAAGGCTTTCATATGTTTCAAATTGAAGGTAAAGTTGTTAAATACTAGATAATCAGGATTGTTTTTGAATTGACATTTAAAAAATAATCTATTTTACAAGCTATACATTTAGTCCTCTTTGATATTTCTTGCAGAAGTTTTCTAGGGAAAATATAGAGTTTGTATAACACATAATTTTTAGAATAAGTGAATATATTTTATACATTGCAACTAAAATTACTGCTCTGTTTCTTTTAGGTTCTTGCCAGAAACCTTATGTGGCCCTTATTCATGGAATTACAATGGGTGGGGTAAGTAGACCTTTATTCTGATCATCAATATTTATATGAGTTGTGTTAAAATTAAGTTAATTATTTAACAGATTGAGGTGATGAATGTAATACAATAGAATTCATTGAAACAAAATTGTGTGGATTTGGGATCCTGGCATATTTGGGGCATAATATTTGCTTATAGCACTTTTAGACTATCTCAACCCAAAAGAGTATTTTGTGTTCTTAATTATGCTATATGCTATTTTAACTTTTTGAATTAGCAGGTTTTTTTTAAGCAATGGAAACTGATTGCATTTTTTAAATGTATGTAGAACATTTTTTGTAATTGGAAATAAGTATTGTTGGAAGTAGATTGTTTCCAACAGCTTTAGATGAGAAACTGGATTTTTTTTTCTTACTCTCAGTATTGGGGATTTGGTTGTCTGTTGCACAAAATTTCACCTTAGTGGAACTGTTTGGATTCTTTATGAAATTCTCTGTAACTGCATTTCTATCAGTTGACAAATATTTATTTTGCCTCTGTCCTGTTACAAAGAAGCCTAAAATGTAACTGGCCTTGAACAACTTGATACGAAGATGGAGAAAACATGAAATAGTTACAGAACAATTGATAAATTGTTTGGCAGTGACTGTAACAAAGACAAGGCTTTCAGGAGTGAGGAGTCAGAATGGGTCATCTTATCAGGAAAAGGGCTGCATGGAAAAGATGGTGAATTGCACTGAGCCTAGAAGGATAGTGAAGGGGAGAAAAAGTAATATCTTTTCCTCACCCATTGTAAGGGTCATGGCCAGTGCCAATATAGCAAAAGATAGATCAACAAGAAAAGCATAACAGATTTGTTTAAAGCTTTACATGATATGGGAACCTTCAGAAATGAAGACCCAAAGACCTAGAGAAAACTGTGTATTTTTATGCTTAGGTGTGATGAACAATGGATAGTGATGTAGAAGTATGATTGTACAAAAAGGGTATGATCCAATGGTAATAAACTGGGGGAACTTAAGTAAGCCTGTTCAGATTCTTCTTTGTGTCTCTGTGTATCATTCCTTTCCTCTGTGTATAGTGCTGGGTAGACACTTGTCAAATGAGGGTTTAATGATGTATATTTTTAGGAGAGGTTGGCCAGAGAATTTCTTCATGGCAAGCACTCCCACAGAAAGGTGGGCAAAAGTCAGAGAATGACCTCTAAGGGGCCATATTTTGGGTAGCATGTTCCGAGCTCTGACAATAGGTGTGGCCTAGGTAGGTAGGAAGTAGGAGGCCAAAGGGTGGAATTTCAATAATTCTGCCTGTTCAGTGTTTTAGAAACTTAGTTATTTGGAATATAAGAAGTCCTCCTCTTATTCTAGTAGAACTACCATAAATGAGGCCTGTTTGGCATGGGCTATTGCTTAGATCTTGCACATCATTTTGGAAAAGGATTTCACTAGCAAAGGCAATCTATACCTCTCTGCTTGTTGACAGATATTGAGCGTGGGTTGGTTGTGCTTTATCAAGGAAGTGTTAACATGGGAAAATAAAAGTTCTGTGAAAAAACTACAGAATAAAGGGAAAGGAAATAATCTGAAGCACTGAAGGAAGAGCTGCCCTGTGAGTGTGCAAGACACCAGGAAAAAACGAAAACAAAAAAAAATGGGCATACCCAGTTTGATGTAAAAAACAAATGTAGCCTCAGTAAAACAGGAAAGAAATTCCATAAGGAGCCAGCAGACTCAGATGAAAGGGCTACATGCTTAAAAGGGGAACAGATAACATGAGGAAGGATGACTAGGAGCTAAAATACAATAGCAGAACTGACATATTCCATTCTGAAGGCAATGGATTAGAAAGAGTTGAATTTGATATTACAGATAGTGCAGTTGTATCTCTGGAGGACAAACTTGAGAAGCTCTCACAAGACATTAAAAAAAAAACGATTAGAATGAATGTTTTAAGGTAATGACTATGAAAGAAAGATATTGGGAACCTAACAAAGGAATGATACATACTCCATTGAAAATAAATCCAATAGTTGGAACAGAAATGATGGTTACATACAATTGAAGAAAACTTCAAAACCACAAACTTCCAACCTGAGGTATATGTAATTAAAGGGAACACAAAATTTCTGATAATATCACTAAAAAGAGACCTACACCTAGGTAAAAGCTTAGGTAAATTTTTTTTTTTTAACTACAAGCTTTAAGAAAAAAGAAAAAAAGAAAAAAAAACAACAACAAACAACTGCAAGTGTTCAGGCCAAGGGTGAAGGGATGATTAGTGGGTATAGGTTTTATACAAAGGAACATAAATCTGGCTTCATACTTCTGTTATACAAAGTGCCAAAAGTAAATGGGGTGAAAAGTTGTGAAATAGTTAAGACCCTAGAGTTTTTTACCCAATTAAGTTGTCATTTAGTATCAATATAAAAGAAAAATATTCTCAGGAATGAATGGGTTTAGAAAATATATTGCTGACATATCATGGTTGAAAATATTTCAATAAATATCTGGTCTAGTTGACCAAGTGATCACACAAAATTATAACTCAAGACTAGTTTTGATATGAAAGGATTGGTGAACTGCCCCTTGGTATTGTCGGTAGGCAGAACTTCCATCTTTTTATGGAAGCCTGAGAATCATTGCTCTAACATACTGTGTCTGAATGCATTGGCCATATTTTTAGGCACCACCCCCCCCGGCATGTACAGGTTGCTTTAGTATTTCTATACGTTCCTTTATATGTAACAGACAAGGCTCTTCTGTTTATTTCTAAAGAAACAACCTCAGTGAAACAGATCAAAATGATGATGTCTTTAAGTAAAGATGCTGCTGTTGCTTTTTACTGGTCTCTGTTTTCTGTATTATAATTTAAAGCAGGTAAATGACTTTCAAATGAAGATATACTTTATATTAGCCTTTCTTAACCAGAATTCCACCAGAGAATTAAGTGTTAGTGCCCTAAGGCAGTGGTTTTCAAGATACTATCCCTGCAATAGCAGCATTAGAAGCACTTGGGAACTTGTTAAAAATACACATTCTTGGGTCCCACACCAGAGTCAAACTCTAGGGGTAGGGCCCAACAGACTGTTTGAATATGCCCTCCAAGTAATCTGAATCATGTTAAGTTTGAGAACTGTTGCCGTAATGGATTCTCTCCTGTTTCTGTCCTGTGCTTCTAGAATGGTACCAGTTATGTATTATCCTTGGAGAACTGAGAAAATAGTCATATCATTTGCAATGATCTGTGATTCAGATGAGAAACCCCTGAGAAAGTTTGTTTTATAAGCTCCCCTAAAAAAACAACTTATCTTTTTTCCCATCAGGACTGCTACCTGTATGTATCCTTAAAGACTGAAGTTTCCCTCCTTTCTTGACAGTCTAAATCAGGGGTCTTCAAACTTTTTAAACAGGGGGCCAGTTCACTGTCCCTCAGACTGTTGGAGGGCTGTACTATAGTTAAAAAACAAACAAACAAACAAAAAACTATGAACAAATTCCTATGCACAGTACACATATCTTATTTTGAAGTAAAAAAACAAATGGGCAAAAACACCGGCATGTGGCCCGCCAGCTGTAGTTTGAGGACGCCTGGTCTAAAATGCTACAGATTGAGTATCCCTTATCCAAAATGCTTGGGACCAGAAGTGTTTCAGATTTCAGATTTTAAAAAATTTTAGAATATTTGAATTACTTAGCAGTTGAGCATCCTAGATAGGAAAATCCAGAATGCTCCAATGAGCATTTCCTTTGAGCATCATGTTGGTGCTTATAAGGGCAAAGACTATCATGCTTTTTTTTTTTTTAAATAGCTTTTTGTTTATAATGGTAATATCTGGAAATGTGGAAGTGAATGTTTATTCCTAGTTACTGATTAACATATTCATATTTTTGAATGATTTAGTTGTCCTTTTTAAGTAATTATAATTAGATCTTTAAAAGCCTTTATAGATACGTCAGCTTTTTTCTCCTATTGGAACTGTCTGAAAACACACTTAGCTTTGTCTCTTAATTTAAAAAAAGTCTTAGATTGCCCAATTTTTGCTTTAGGGATGGCAAAATTTTAATAAGTATATTCATTTTTATGGTGGCAGAGTATGAGTTTGACTACATTCATAGATTTGTTCCATTTTTGTTCAACCATTATCTATGCTTGTCCATGTTAGAATTCTTTATAGTAGATTATAATATATTATTATGAAAGGATTGTTTAATAATAATCCAGTTTAAAAAACAATGACTGTCAGACTAATGATTTGCTCTTGTATGATTATTTTTAATTGAGTTTTTTGTAATTGAGTATTAAAAATGTAGAGATTATTTGAGCCCTAGGATGATATTATCTTACTTTAAGGAAGATACACCTTTGTTTCTGGTAGGTGTTTAGGCTAAGGACATTAAAAATAAGATCATCTCAGTCCAGTCAGGAATAGAGAGGATTTGAAGCTGGGTTTTTTTTTTTTTTTTTTTTTGAGACAGAGTCTCACTTTTGTTACCCTGGCTAGAGTGAGTGCCGTGGCGTCAGTCTAGCTCACAGCAACCTCAATCTCCTGGGCTCAAGCGATCCTCCTGCCTCAGCCTCCCAAGTAGCTGGGACTACAGGCATGCACCACCATGCTCGGCTAATTTTTTATATATATATTTTTAGTTGGTCAATTAATTTCTTTCTATTTTTAGTAGAGATGGGGTCTCGCTCAGGCTGGTTTCGAACTCCCGACCTCGAACAATCCGCCCGCCTCGGCCTTTGAGCCACCGCGCCCGGCCTGAAGCTGGGTTTTGAATCCACTGTGAATCCAGGCCACCCTGACTCCTAAGGTGTAGCCCTTAGGGGCCCAACTTGGCAAGCCCTAAATTCCAACTTTTGCTCCTTTGGCAAATGGGGCTTAGCTCAATCTGTTGAAAACTCTATTCCACTTTTCATCCTCTTAAGATCAGTAGGGCCAGATTCTGAAAATCATTTTATTGACTATAATCAACTGTAGAAATACACTTTATAAGTACTTGTCTTCTAAAACTCTCAGTTTATAACTGAATAT